AGCCCAAGTGCACCATCACCCCCATACACACACACGCTGACCTCCAGGCTGCTCAGGTAGAGCCCAAGTGCACCATCACCCCCATACACACACACACACACACATACACACACACACCACACGCACACACACATGAGCAGGTCAGGGCATGGGCATAAGAACTGGGCTGTCCAGAGGCAGAGAAGGGTCCAGCAGGCTGGCGGGAGTCAGGCAGGCCTCATGGGAAAAGGGCTCTCCGTGGTCCTGGTAGGACTAATGACAGCTCCATGCTTATCTTCTTGTGTTATTTGTTTTTCGCAGAACTTGGGATGGAACGGAGGGCCACGCATGTGCTAGACAAGTGCTCTGTCCCTAAGCTACATCCCAGACTTATTAATGGACAACCCCTAGGGTCAGCCTCCAGTTAGTGATTAGTGCATGTCCTTAAATGTCAAGGGCCTTTCTAAATGCTAGTGGTGTGGTCGGAGGCTAAGGTACTGTTCCGATGGCATTATTGGCTGCCCATCTGCCAGTCTCTGTAGATACAGAGAAAGGGACCATCCTGGCCAAGGTAGACTGGAGGGAGTAGACTGGAGGAGCCCTCAAACCCACCCTGGACTTGTAATCTTAGTGGCCCCTATATGCTCCAAGAAGAAGGTCAGGATTTCCAACTTTAACCCGTAGATCCAGCTGCCCTGGAGGCACAGGGCCAGGCTGCCCTGGCTGCTTGGCGGCCCAGGGTGGCATGCTGTGGACTTGCCTCTACTTGTCTCTCAACCCCAAGTGCTAGGAAGAAGCTCCCCAGTCCTCAGACCCCCCCCACTCCCAGGACTGGTTCTAACTCCCAGCTCCTGGCCAGGCCTTTCTGTGCTCCCCCTCCCCCTTCTGGGGTCTCAGCGCGCTTCTGCCTCCAACCTGGCCTCTCCTCCCAGCCCTACACCCACCAGGACATCTCCAATTTCGCCCCTTCTCAGGCACCACGGTGCCAATGGCGTCACTCCAACCAGCCCAGCCTGTCCCACTCACAGGTGGAAGTCCTCACCTCCTGCCATACTTTTCACTCACTCTCTCTCCCTCTGTCTCTGTCTCTTGTCTCAGCTGCATAGTCTCCTGGCAGGGCCAGCTTAGGGGCAGGGGAAGGCCTCGCTTCGAGGCACCTCATGGATTTAGGCATTATTTGTCTCCTGTAGAGATTCTTATCCAGATATGGCTGGTCAGCAGTGTCTTCAGCACGGAGTCCTAACCTCGAGAGGACAACAGAGGCCCCAGCAAGCATCTCCCTGGCAGATGCCATGCGCAGGTTCCAGAAGGCAAATGCCTTGCCTGTCAGTGGGAAGCTGGACACAGCCACACTAGTGGCCATGAACAAGCCACGCTGTGGTGTCCCTGACACACAGCTGCCATCCCAGACCACTCTGTCGACCCCTCTAGGTCTACAGCCCAGGGCCCGACCAAAGCGCTTCCTGCAAATGCTGCTGCCCAAGCTGGACAGGCAGCAGGAGGACTCTTCACACAGTGGAGCCACCAGGGCCTTCTCCAGAAAGACTCTGACCTGGCGGCTGGTGGGTGAGGCCTACAGCAGCCAGCTCTCTGTGGATGAGCAGAGGTACATTTTCAAACTGGCCTTCAGGATGTGGAGCGAGGTGATACCTCTGAACTTCCGGGAGGACCTCACTGCCCCTGGGGCTATGGTGAACATAAAACTGGGTTTTGGAAGAGGTAAGATGGATACCAGCTCAGGACAACCCTTCCTGCCCACTCTGCAGGCTAGCACCTCCAGCCTTCCTCTGCTGAAACCCCCTGCCTCCATGCCACCTCTAAATGACCTGGGTCCACCCCATCTTAGTTGCCTCAGTCACTTGCAGAAGGGTGGTTATAAATCTTACCTGCTGGGGTCATTCTGAGGTGACATTTGACAGGGTGGGGGTGAGGGTATAGATTTAAGCCCCTCTGTTAGTGTTGCCAGCCAAGAACTCACAGGCGAGGGATGAGCTTGTGGCTCTTCAGAGACCCCAGGGCAGGCACAGAGGACACAAGACCAGTCTTCCTCCTCCCCTGGGAACAGGCAGGCCCAGTAGGTCCAGGCTAGCTGTTGGAGCTTGCTCACCCCATGGAGAAGCCGCAGATATACTGAGTCATAAACCAGAGTCAGGAGCCTTGGACAAATGTCCTAACTTCTCTGCAGCCCTATCTGTGAACTAGGGGTGTTCACAACCACCTCACTGGGTTCGTTTCGTTGGATTAATGTTCCAGCTTGATTTGTTGAAAAACTGTATGAATGTAAGGGACAGCAACCTCCCTTCTTTCATGACCTTCCCAGCTGTCAGGACCCAGCTTGAATGCTCTGTCCTCGAGGTATCACCTTCTGACATCACCCCTCTCTCTCTCACACCCCCACTCCCGGGCACTTGGTACCCAGCTCTGTTTCTCTAGTCTTTATAATCACACTGCTTGCAGACAACCTCCCAGGGAGGAGTTATTCCGGGAGTTGTCCCACCTGTCCCTGCTGCTGGAGGCTGGGCACTGTTGAAGTCTGTACCTGGTTAGGTAGGGAATCTGCAGCAGGCACATCCTTTGTTCACTGGGACCATCCTCTCCCCTCGCCAGGGCGGCACCTGGGCTGTACTCGAGTGTTTGACGGGAGTGGACAGGAGTTCGCTCATGCCTGGCGCCTGGGTGATATTCACTTCGATGACGATGAGCACTTTACACCTCCCACCAGTGACACAGGCATCAGCCTTCTCAAAGTAAGTGGCTCCAGCTGCTCTACTGAGGGTGCAAAGGGCAGGGGCCATAGGCTTATCTGTGATATGTTCATGTCCTCTTGAGAAGGCTGGTGGGTCTCTGGTGATGGCTCCCGAGTTCTTGCCCTGTCCGTCTTATGAATTAAGAACAGCTCTGTGCAAGTCACAGGCCTGCCTTTGTGATTTTGGGATCTGTCATGTGGTGCTGAAAGATTCAGGTTGGTCCTGTGCCTATGATTTGTATCTACCCTTCCTAGGTGGCTGTCCACGAAATTGGCCATGTCCTCGGCTTGCCTCACATCTACAGGACGGGATCCATAATGCATCCAAACTATACTCCCCACGAGCCTGCATTCGAGTTGGACTGGTCAGACAGAAAAGCAATTCAAAAGCTGTATGGTAAGGTAGTTCTTGGACAAGTCCCCCAAGCTCCCAGAAGACACTCAGAATGCCCAAACACAGCAAGACCCAACTCCATGCTCACTGGGAGGCTGCTCCCCAAGAAGCACAAATGTGTGCAATCCCAAGTAGCTGCCCTCTAGCTCCATATGCAATCGTCTTAGCTAAAAGTGGCCTTGCCCAAACTACAACCCAGGTAGCGGGCAAAGCACACCCTACAAAGTGGTCCCTCCAGCCCTCTCTCCCATGTGCCACAGGCTTTGGGTAGGCATACTGCGGCGTCTCACAAAAGATAGTGAACTGGAAACCACTGGAAGAAGTTTGCTGCAATGCCAAGGCAAAGAGCAGCTTAGCTTCACCTGGGCAGTTTTCAGCTCTATTTAATTGTTTTAGCCGAAGTACTAGTGGTTAATTATTTGATAAAAATGATCAGTGATGTAGCACAGATGCCCAAAGCTCAGGAAAATAGTCTCCTTTTTTCCACTGAAAGGTGTTTCACAGAGACCACACCATTTCTGTTCTACTCCTGTTCCTGTTCTTGGCAATCAGTGCCTTTGGAAACAACGAAAGCCAGGACAGGATTTTCCCCACTGGTGGAAATCTTAGTCTTGTGTGTATCCAGTACCAAACTTCTTTCCTCTAATGAAGTCAGAGTAGGACCTCTTCTAGCTACATTTCTGGTGCTCATACAACTTGCATCCAAATAGCATCCAACTCATGTGAGTCAGGACTGTTGCGGCAACCTGCGTCCTGCCCACTTCTCCTCGGCCCCCTGGCAACCTGGAACGGTGTCTGGCTTTAAAGTGTTTCAATTGAAAATTCCAACCTTGCAATCTATCTCTGTTCAGTTACACATGGAAGTTAGTTTTTGCACCACATGACAAGAGGTTGGCATTTACTTTTCTTCTCAGGTTCATGCAAGGGATCCTTTGATATTGCATTTGACTGGATTCGCAAAGAAAGAAATCAATATGGTGAAATGATGGTGAGATTTAGCACATATTTCTTTCGAAACAGCTGGTACTGGCTTTACGAAAATAGAAACAACAGGACACGATATGGGGATCCTATCCAAATCCTCACAGGCTGGCATGGAATCCCAGCGGAAAATATAGATGCGTTCGTCCACATCTGGACACGGAGACGAGATGAGCGTTATTTTTTTAAAGGTAAAGATTCTTCATGAGTGGCTCTATTTTTCTTATTAAACAAATGCGTTCAGGATAAATGTTTCAAGCCCCTACCAAAGAATCCATTGTATGCTCTGGTTTCAGTCTGTTCCATCAGGATGTACACCCTGTGAACACAGGAGTTGGGGCATATCCCCCGATTTTTTTTCCACCAATACTGGGGATTGAACACAGTGCTTAGTTACATCTCCAGCATCCCCACCCTGCCCTTCTAATTTTTTGTTTTGAGAAAAAGTCTTTCTAAGTATCCCAGGCTGGCCTCAAACTTGTGATCCTCTTGCTTCAACCTCCTGAGCAACTGGGATTACAGGTGTGCACCACCATGGCCTGATCCCCTGCTCTTTTTCAGGAGCCATCTAAGTTATTGGATGAATGAATGAATGAATGAATGAGTGAGTGGACAAACTTTGCTAGGCACTTGAGGTGGTGCCAAAGAATCACAGAAAGGGCTCTATAGAAGTTTTATGTAGTTCTGGAGGAAAACAACATATCTTGGAAGACTACAAATAGAAATATGTCTTCAAGAGGTGGGCTGAGTAGGGGAGGGGACCACTGCCACCGGGAATCTGATGTTGGTAGCACCAGGAGTCAGGGCTTGACCTAGACCTGGGGATGGGTGGGCTCTAGAACGCCCATAAAAGGGCACTCAGGATGGTGTGAGGCTGTGGGTGGGTGTGATTGGACAGGGTCAAGCAGCAGAAGCTGGGAATGGCACAGCTGTTGAGGTGTGTATGTGTGTGTGTGTAGCACTCAGGAGACTTGGTTGGGAAGACTGGGTTGGCCTGACCTTGAAAGTCTCAAATCCCAGGGCCAGAGATGGTCTTCATCCAGCAAGCAGCCAGCAATTACTGAACTGGAAAGATCAGTGTTTTGCTGAGAGTTGGCAGGGTTGGGGGTAGAGGTGGCTGAAGCAGGGCAGGTTGGGGCTGTCTTGGCACTGCTCCTCCTTATTCACAGGCCACCCAGGCAAGCACCTCCCCACTCAACTCATGTAGGCAACCTGTTCTGCAAATGCAGTCTGATCCCAAACATGATATGCGGCTTCTGCTTTTCCTTTACCCTTCCACCCAGACAAAAGTTATGTACCCTGTCTAACTTGAATCCTAGTAATACAAAGCATACTGCTTTAAATTGCACAGAGTTAACAAGGCAAGAGCAAAAATTAAAGGACTTTCTATGCAAATTTTACCGTCAGGATCCAGTGTGTAAATTTGGTCTTAATTTTCCTTTATAGCACACAAAGGAAGAATTATTCTAGTTTGGTTACATTAAACAATTGCCTTGTGGCAAGTGTTTATAGTTGCAGTCTTTTTCAGAGTTAGGAGCACATCTTTCAGTGATTTTAAGGAGTTCTAGACTAGAATTTCTGTTGGCAACACTGAATCATTATAGAAGTGGGCCATCATGGGGGGACTGCACAATACAGCTACATTTTGTTCTTGGAGCTTTAAAAACATCTTAATTTGTTGTGAATACTTTTTTTAAAATTCCACTTTGAGTGAATTGCATCTCTATTGGGACATGTTGCATTGTTCTCAATGGTAAACTTTTCCAAATATATTATTTGGGAAATAAGGGGTGTAACTGCTTGAAGTTTTCTGTGAATTATGGACACATGAGTACCTAGCTCAGCGGGTTTATTGTACTGTGTTGGAAACATACCAAATATTTAGGATTAGAAATAAGTAAAGGCAGGAGCATGAAAATAGCATTTGGACTTTGCAACAAAATGGGGCAAAGGACAGGATTTTATTTCCCAAGACTGTGGGCAGAATCTCCCCGGGTGGAAGGTGGGAGTCCTGTTTTGCAGCTCCACCCAGCTCAGGCTGTCTGGATTGGATGAACCACCTGGACCCCCTTTACTCATGTCATTTGCAAAATGGGGGTGGAGGTGGAGCCACCAGATTCTAAAACACTACGGAAAGGTATAATCCAGTAATTAGCCTCAGGATTTCTTTTTTTGAAAGAGGGCTTATATCAATTAAGAGCAGGGAGATGATTCGGGCCAACCCATGAGCAACTAACATGTAAAAGGAAGATCTTTAGACCATAAAAGAGGGAAAAGATTAAAGAACTCAAGTGAAGAACACCATGCTACTTTTGTTCTGGTTTTGATGAGAGCTAATGGGAAGGTGTCCATGGCTGGGGTGCACTGTGAAAGGGAACCAGCATTCTAACTGCAGCAGTGATCTGTAAGAAAAATGAGCCACTGGGGTCACCTTGCTAAGTCTCTCAAGACAGAAAAATCATTGAGTGAAGCTTCACTCAGATGAGGAAGACTGTTTTCTCCTGGAAACAGGCAGAATATCATGCAGGATTGGCTGAGACCTATTTTGGAATTGTTCTCTTTGCCATGTTTCTTCTAATTCGATATTAATAAACCATGTTAACATTTTTGATTGGCTCTCAGGAAGCCAATACTGGAGATATGACGGTGACAAGGATCAGGCCCTCTTAGAAGATGAACAAGGAAGAAGCTACCCCAGACTGATTTCAGAAGGGTTTCCTGGCATCCCCAGTCCCCTGGACACTGCCTTTTATGACCGAAAGAAGCAGTTAATTTACTTCTTTAAGGAGTCCTTTGTAAGTAGCATTGCTTCTGTGAGTGCTGAGATTTGTCTGATGACGGAGTTCTCAGTTGAAATCTGTTCTCATTACTTCAGATCTATACAGTAGTGGGAAATCATTAGGTGGAAAATTATTTAAAGCTTTAAGTCTAAAGTCAGATTTAATTAACTAACTACAAGTTAACCTAAAAATCAATGATCTTCAGAAAAGCCAGTCTTACTGTTTAATTTGTTTTGCAGGTATTTGCATTTGATATCAACAGAAATCAAGTACTTAATTCTTATCCAATGAAGCTCACTGAAGTCTTCCCAGCAATAACCCCACAAAACCATCCCTTCAGAAATATAGATTCAGCTTACTACTCCTACGCACACAACTCCATTTTCTTTTTCAAAGGCAATGCATACTGGAAAGTAGTTAGTGAAAAGGACAAACAACAAAATTCCCGGCTTCCTTCTAATGGCTTATTTCCAAAAAAGCATATTTCAGAGAAGTGGTTTGATCTTTGTGATGTCCACATCTCTACACTGAACATGTAATGAGAGGCAGTTGGAGCCCAGCTTGAGTGACTTA